CAAAAATTAATGGGAAAAAAGTGCACAAAAATCTTATCAAAATATCGGCCAACAGACGATGAACCATACACAGTCAGTGGTGCAATTTATTGAAAGATCTTGTCGTCATCAACTGGACCGTACAGATTTTTCTACACACAGATAACACTGCCCAACCATACGAATAATTCAGTTCGACAACATCAAAAAAAAAAAGAAAGCCAGAAAACAAAAATATTTTTTTTGGAAACTTGCCTAATTTTAAATAAAATCGTTTCAAGACACTATTTGTCAGAGTGCCAACAGAGTTCAATAAGTTAGCGCTTGGCTTATAGTGCAAGTATTTATGGATGATAATTAGCTACTGATATGCTTCATTTCTACTTCTGCCATCAATCTTTCCAGACATTTTCATCCTATACATGTAGTTTATTGTCTTCTTAGTTGTTAATTGTAATTTTTGTCAAGCAGCACAAAGAAGGTTCTCTTCTGCTGCATAATATTGGTGTACCAGGGTAGTTTGGTTTTAGTGTATCCATTTATTCAACTTTTTTCGTTAAACGTGTTGTGGTTTCTTCTGGTTTTCATGGTTAACATGGATCACTGGTTGATAATTCAAAGTTTATTTCTTTTTTTCTTCTGTTGTCTTTGTTGATTATACATTATTTAATGTATAAATGTAGTTTTCGTAAATTACTATTGATTATAATAACTTGGTTTAGGAAATTGAAATAAATTGTTTTTACCAGTATTTGTGCGGTTTTTTACTGTAGTTGAAGCGCTTAAAAAGGAAGTTTTTATTTTCGAAAATTTTGATTTATACCAAAAACGTCACCAAAAGGTTAGTGATAGAAGAAGTAGTTGCTAACTGTTATTTTTCCAATTTTGGAATCAACGAAATTATTTGTTTGATGTAAATAAAATTTTGTAGTTGTCTGTTCAGTAAAAACTTCTATCTTTTCTTTTAAAGCATGACTTCTCGTATGTACAGTGCTTTCTTGAAAAATGGATTACTTAAGAAGTCGACGCCAGCAATCATCTCAGCCCGAAATAACTACAGTCAGTTATATTCTGTTTTATGGTTCTATATCTGTGACTTTTTTATTCTTACTTTCTTTATTAATTTTTATTTGAAAAGTGCCTTTTTTTCATCAGTTGTACAGGATTGCACAGTACTTTAAACTCTGTGTTGGTCTTGTAGATGGTATTGCTTCTTGTACTTAAAACTAAATTTTAGAATATGTTGGTGAACAATCACCACTTGACGGATCATTGAAAAGTGAGATAAATGCTGGTCTCCACACAATTTTTTTCACCGAGATGTTCAGAGGTAGTTGTTTCTCTTGGCCTACTCTTCGAGAGCTTTGAGTCATTCAAAAGAGGTCAGGTGTGGTTTCACGGGGTCGATCAATTTTAGTATTTTGTAGAACCATGCCTTCAACATTTATTGTATTTTCTAAATCGGTTGGTTAACTACTTCTTATTTGGGGACTGGTTATAGTTTTATTATCACTTACCTTATTCGTCTCTTTGGTTGAATGCTTTTTCCGTTAAGGGCTTGGCATTATAATTGGACATTATTTTATGGAGCCAGCTACAATAAACTATCCATTTGAAAAGGGACCAATTAGCTCTCGTTATCGGGGAGAACATGCTCTGAGGCGGTATCCATCTGGAGAGGAAAGGTGTATTGCTTGTAAACTGTGTGAGGCTATTTGTCCAGCACAGGTCTCTTTTTCTCTTTTTAAAGACTTTTTAGTTAGAAGGATGTTATCAGTCTGTTTTTGCTTATCGTCAAAATTAACATTTTCTAGTTTCTTACTTTTGTTTCTGATTATTTTTCAAATTTTTAAACCTTATATCATGTTTCCAGGCAATAACAATTGAGGCAGAACCTCGACCTGATGGAAGCCGACGCACGACTCGGTATGACATTGACCTTACTAAGTGTATATTCTGTGGACTTTGTCAAGAAGCTTGTCCTGTCGATGCCATCGTTGAGGTATGGTGAATTTTTTTTCTTCTGTCATGTTGACTGTTAAATTCAAGTTTTATTTATTTATTTTTTGGCAAGATTGTCCTGATCTTTGACAGTAAAATCACCTTTCTATCTGGTTTTTTTTCATCAGTGCTTCTAGTTCAACTGTTTTCTCAACCATCCGATGAAGTGTTTTTAGGGACCGAATTTTGAATATTCGACGGAAACTCATGAGGAATTGCTGTATAATAAAGAGAAATTGTTAACTAACGGCGATAGGTGGGAACCCGTTCTGGCAGCCAATTTACAGGCTGAATATCTATATCGATAGGAATGCTTGTAGAAATGTATAGGCTATATAAAATATTTGAAGTTTGCTCGAGTAATATTTTTAAGCAGAGTGACACTTCTTGAATTTTCTACTTCTTCAGAGCGTAAAAAGACGAAGCATTTGTCCCTTTTTTCGTGAAATCTCACGCATATCATCAGCGGAGTGGATAAAAATCTTATGAACTTAATTTATTCTTTTTAATGGTATAAGAAGAAGTAGTTTTTTGGATGAAAAACTTTTGTGAAGGAATGTAGGAAACTTTCTTTTTTTTGGGTCTCAGATTTTAAGCCTTGAGTTTTTAGGCAAAACCAGCAAGTTAAGCCCTTTACAAGTGAAGGGCTCTTTACTTGTGATGTAACACTTAGAAACTGTGCAGAGTTTGGTAGATTTTGTTGAATTGTTTTTTCAATAGACTTTCCGTGGAGGAAAACGTAGAGTGGAAACTACAAATTGTTACATTCTCACTATTATTATTGCTGATAACATTAGTATGTCATGAATTTTTGCTCAAGAATATAAGTGTTTGAAAGAGTTTTTCTTTAAAATTCATAAAGAATAGCTTGGTTTACTAAAGTGATTTAATGGTCGAATGAATCAGTTGCAGTGTAGTGAGTGTTTCTGTTTTCTTTTATTTTTGGGATTTTGCAGCAGCATAAAAACTTGGCGATTCCGCAATATGTGCCTCTGATTTTTTATAGAATGGTTAGTTGCGGTTTTTAATGTTTTTCGATATCTTTTGGTTAGTAAGCTCTAGACCTCTGCTTGTACAGTTGTGTGTCACAGCGCTAGTTTGGAAGAAATTCGCCGTGGTAATGGTAGGAAGGAAGTATTTAGGATTGTCAATCGTTTTGCGAGTTTTCCACATCTCTTGGAGTTAACGGTAATGAAGTTCTGCTTTGATCTCTGGAGACGTCTTTGAACAAGAAGACGGGTTAGGAATCAACAAACTTTGGTATTTTGATAGTTTGGAAGTTGCATAATAAGCATTTTTTTTTTTTTTTTTGCCTGGACTTAATTGGTAACCGGCTGAAGTGATTAGCAATAAAAAAAATTGATGGATGTTTTAGCTGGTAACAACCTATGCTGTTTTTGAAAGTTTTTTTGCCAGGTATCGTGCGATAAATCAGGCGAATTTGGACGACAAGTTTAATTGGTAACCAGAAGTAAATTGAGTTTTCAAAAGTTAAATAAACATTAATTATAGTGGCACGTTCCCAGTAGTCGTAGTTTCTTAGTTTTTCAAAAATTTTTTTTGGAAAAACAGGTTTTGTTTACTCCATTTACTGTTGTCCACTAAGTTCTGTGTGTGCAGTTTATTTGATTGTGTGTTCAGGAACATGTTTATAAAGAGTGATATCTGAACAGCTGAAATATTAATAGACAAATTCAACCAACTTACTGACACTGAACGCTTAATCTTATCTACATTTCCAGTGTCAACTTATGTGAAGCATCTTTGTAAAAATGAAGTTTCCTTTTGCACTTATCGTTGTAGACAAAAAAACTTTCCAAATTTTATGCCTTCATTTTTAGTGAGATTTAAATTCCAATCTCTTTTTTTTAAAGTATTTTTTATTCTTGGGAAATTAAGGAATTCTGATTTTTCTGGTACTTTATAGAAATTTTTGAAAACTTTGGCGGAAAATCTACTTAAGAAGAGAGTGCACATATAGTCACAGTGAAGGATTTATCTGATAGCTGCATTACTTTGAGATCTGATCCTTCTGAGTAAACACTACTATTCTAGAATTATAGTTTATGAGCAATTGACAGATCAACTCGTTAAGATAGTATAGTACTATTGAACTTGTTTTATTTTGCACTGTTTCTTAGTAATTTCTGAGACCACCATTTGTTCCGCTGTTGTCGTTGTTATTTAGTTCAATAGGCTAATAATTGATGTGGGAGTAATGAAGCAGAGAATAGAATAAAAAAATTTTTTTTTGTAGACAGGATGTTTTATCGGCGTTATCAGTAAAATGCTAGGAAAATCTATATTTAGGTCAACTTTTTGTATCAATTCTTTCATTTATCAGAATAGTTAGCTAATAAATAAGGTACAAGGAAGAAGAAAAATATAGCAGAGTTTTAAATATTTTTTCTAAAAAACTTTTTTTTAACGATTAAACATTGTCGATGTTATAATTTTTCTATATAGGCATAAAAATTTATTAACTACAAATATCTAAATTTATACATTTTTAGGTTTTTATATTCAATAGTTGATGAAACATGGAAAGAAGAAAAAAAAAAAA